CGAAGGCCGGGTCCTCCGAAGGATGCAGCCGACGTTTTGGGACACAGCTAGTATTCACCAACACACTTCCGCATCTGGTCCGTTAAGTTATTGTGTTCCCAGAAACGCTTCTGTTTTCTGAATTGATTTTTTTTCCTTTTGTTTTGGCTTTTAGCTTTTCCTGCACCACCCCTTCTCCCCACCGCTCCACCACCCATTTCCCATTTTGGGTCAGATACGTTAAATAATGTCTGAGAATGGCTAATTAAAATATAGAAAACAGTTCCATACTCTTTCCCAAACCAGCAGAGGGATGCAATCTGCCCAGCATGCCCTAGTCTGTGGAGGAGACTCTTTGAGGCTCCGTTCGATCACTACCTCCAGGTCATGATCATCAGCGAGGACAGGAACGCAGAACAAGCCACAAATCACAGGCTTCTTGCTCAGCTCTGTCCTCACCACAACGGACGGATCACTGCAGCCTGTACAGCCTGCCTTACTTCCTAACTTCCTTCCTCACTTCCTTCTGTCTTAAACCCATCTCCAATCTAAAGTGGATGACCGCCTGGTCCTCCACACTGCAAACCAGCTGATGAAGCTGGATGCTGTTGTTCATGCGACAGATCTCCACTCAAGCTCGTTAACAGTAAACTCCTGATAAAGTTTCTTTAATTAATCCGTCACCATGTTTGATGTTGTGTACAGGATTCAGACCTCGGCCTGAAAAGTCCTCCTGCTCTGTTTGAGCCTTTTAGATTTGAGTCTTTGCAGCGTTTGGCCCTTAGAATCAATCCTCCCCTCAGGTGTGTACACAACATGAAGACATTGTTGCCTCGGTTCGACTCCACCATCGGACCAGAGTCTTTCTGTACCCGGGTCTGTGTGGGTTCTCTCCAGGTACTCTGGCTCCCTCCCACAGTCCAGACACCTGCAGTCAGTGGGGTTAGGTGAACTGGTAACTCTAAATCATCCACAGGTGTGAATGTGAGTGTGTTAGAGCTGTGGCAGACTGGCGACCTGTCCAGGTGTGCCCCACCTCTTGCCCTATGATAGCTCAGATAGGCTCCCGCCCCTCCGCAACCCTGATAAGGTTAAGTTGGCCACTGATGGATGGTCTCTGAGCGTGACGGTGCTTGTGGGTGCAGGTCTCTGCCGGTTGTTCAGGTGTGTTGCAGGTGTGAGGTGTGTGTAACGGCAGTGATGTCTTCCTGTTTCTCCAGCATGCACATTGTGAGCGGCTCCTGCAGCTCGCCCCTGCCTCCCACGCTCAGCCCCTACGAGAACGGCAACGCCCTCTTCATCAAGAAGCCTCACACGGCGTGTGGCTCTGTGACCGTCTTCACCTACGACCTCCAGCACGTGTCCACCCTGCAGTTCAACGGCAGGGTCGCAGTGATGTTCTCGGTGCCGTACGACTTCAACTTCTACTCCAACTGGTACGCGATGGGAGTCTTCGACATGGACAAAGCCTGCGACCAGCACCTTTACGACGAGATGTACAACAAGTCGGAGCAAAAGTTTGTCAGGGGCAAAGCCAAGGGGCCGAGTCTGACCTACAGGGGGGCCTACATCACTGTCAGGGCCACCATGTCCGACACCTACCAGCCCATCCTCAAGGTCGCCATCTGCAATAACTGAGGCCCACAGCCGCACCTGCAGTGTGCACCATTAATCCCACCTAACCCAGTAACACTGGGTTCACACTGCAGGAGACCTGCAGCTGATTGATCAATCAATTAATCAGTCATCAGTCAGTAAGATTCTCTCCTCATTTTATATCCACAAACACAGATTAAATCTCAACATTTATTTGAAATTTGGATTTCTTTCCCTGCCCCTCCTTCCTGATGACATCCAAAAAATGGTGAGCTGTGATTGGTCAGCAGTGTGTCTGTGATGTTGTCTGAACCCGATGTTAAACTTTTTTTCCTTCTCTTTATGTTTGACACAAACTTAACTTTTACTTTTGATGATGTCACTCAGAAATCGTCATGGCGACTGCATTACTGTGGTCCAGTGAGATGAAACCACAGAGCTGTGCAGCTGTGAACATGTGGATGAGATAATAAAGGCTGAGTGAGTCCTAAATGTCTGAGCTGTTTTCTTACGATAACCAATCACAAAGCAGTCTAAGGAGCTTGGGAAGAAAAGCGTCGGGACTTCTTTAAGTTTCTTGAAGACGTTTGGTCCGAGAAGCTTCTTCAGTTTTCAGAGCAACTAGTGCAGAGTCCAAGGTTTTAAGCCCTGTGAGAGTTTTTCTAAAGGGGTCGCTGACCCACTGT